ATATTAGCCCGTATGCCCAATACCAATCTATAAAGTCCTCTTTAGACTCATGAAACGCATGCAATGACACCAAGTGCAGGAAGATCACAGGCTAGTGGGTAGAACATCTTTGGATCCAGTAGCATTGTAAGCATCTCAGCATTAGCAGGACTCTCCACGTGGCTTCTCCTCAGGGATGTCTCTCACAGGGAGTCAGCAGAGAGAGAAAATGTCTCCTGTATCCAAGGAGGAAATTACGGGAATTCCCAGAAATCAGGAGAAGGCCATGCCCACACAGAGGCATCGTTGGTTATATCTTAATTGACAGGCCAGACTCCACCCCTTCACTCATAATCCTCTCAAATTGACACCAGATTATGTATGGTAACTACCAGAGACCAGTTCATTGATTTTTTTTGAACCTCCAAGTGTGCTCTGGTCAGAGCTGCCATTGTTACTGAAATTAAGTGATGCTTAGAATCGTGTGATTTACCCCTGCTTTCATTGCTGCTGGTGTTTGGAGTCACCATTTTGTCAGATATTCTGGTGTTTCAGCTGCAGTGCTGTGATTAGTTTTCTGTGAACCTCTATCAGTAACTTTCTTTTTTTAATTTAACAGTTTTATTGGCATATAATTCACAAATCATGCTATTCAATAGTTCAATCATCTTATGAAGGGTTGTACAATCATCACCACAATCAATTTTAGAACATTTCTTTCTTCCTTTTTTAAAAAGTTTTCTTCCTTCTTATACTCATTTTTATTAGCTCTCCATTTCCCCCATCCATAACTGTTTTTGAGAGATAATAATTAAAGTAAAACAAGGAGAAACCATTTTAAAGGCTTCTACTCAGTTACTAACAGTTTTATAACTAATCCTGTTGTAATTCAATGGCGATTTTACAGAACAATTTTGTTAACATTCATATTAAGCCCCTTACAAATGCATTCATCCCATGGTGGTGTGTAATAGAATCGGTCACAAACATGGCCCAGGATTCTGCATGGTCTGGAATGAACTTAGGAGGCCCATGGGAGAAGGGGAGTGGCACCATGAGTTTCACACTGGGTAACACCACCCCTAGGGATGCCACTGAAAAGCAAGTAGGAGTTGGCCTTTAAGTCAGACACTCATGACCCAGGGACTTAACAGTCCCCATGTACTATCTCACAGAGGTGCTGAGTTCACTATCCTGAATGAAGGGGTTAGCCTGCTGGGCCCTTAGCTAGATTCCTGGGGAAGAATCCTACTTCTGAGCTCACTGGAGTTGTAACAACCTCCACAACTCCTGGCTGCAGGCCTGAGGTCACTTTTTTTTTTTTTGGATGGCCACTGTTAGTGTAAAACCTCTCTGTTCTAAAGGAATCATGTGATCTGATTAAGGTGCCCTCTCAGCACTGTGGGTTATATCTTTCAGTTACTAATCCAAAGAGTGGCTATTCAACCCAACAGTGCCTCTGTAGAAGGAAGATGAGGCCACCTGTTCCCATAGTAAAGATGTGGTAGACTCTCAGAAAGCCTCCATAAGGGTCATATGAGTCAGGGTCAATTCTATGGTCATGGGTTTGGTTTGGGATTAAACTGGGCACAGCTGGATAATGTCTTCCTCCATGTAACAACATACAGGGTTGACATCTCATCCACATATTCTCAAAAGGAAGGAGATTACTTAAGATCAAGGTGACTGAAGGGGGGAGGATGCATTCTTAGAATTCTGCCTATTACAAGATCATAATACACAGAATAAATCCCCAGTTGGATAAAATAGCTAAAGGTCAAATATTGACAGATGTTATAGAACAATGTGTATAGATAATTGTGTGTGTAAAAAACCTTCTTACACAAGACAACAAAGTTTTAACTTTTGAATAGATTGAAACATTTGTCTGCATTAAAAATTTTCAGCTCTGTCTGTTGCGGAATACCACATATGATGCAATAATGCAAACAGCCGATGGGTAGAAAACATTTTCAATATGTACAATTGTGAATTAATAGTCTCACAGAAGAAAGATAAACAAGTATTTGAATATGTGAAAAAGAGAAGCACCGATGGCTGTTTTTTAAGGCATTTTATACCAGTAAAGATTACAAACAATGACTAACTATAAGAGGAGGATTAAATAAATGGTACATTTAACCACACAATTGGCTACCTCCAACTGTTAAAAAAAATCAGCACGGAATTCAAGCAGAGATGGGAAGGAGACCAGATGCTGAATTCTGACCAGGGATCTGACAAAATGTCCAAAATGCTCTGCACCATAATCAAGGAAGCTCTGTTTGCTGGGAGAACCAGTTCCCGGGTTTAAGCAGAACCAGATGAGAGCCACACCCTTATTTTCCTGTGCTCATTGCTGACTCCCATTTTGAATGAGGATTTACAAACCTGAATGATTTCTGCCAGAAAAAAATGTATGATGGCAGCTTCTAACGCATGTTTCATGACCAAAATGTATCACTCTACTGTAAACAAGTTAGGAAAAACAGGTTTCGATACTTTGAAAGATAAGGTGTCTCCAGCACTGCAGATACACTCAGTTCAGCTACTGATCCAGGCTCTGTGAAGTGCTCCCAAACCAGATGGTCCACCAGCCGACGATGTATCCAAGCAGTGGATGACCAAGCCAGCCCAACGCATAGAAACAGAGAGCATGGGACTAAGTGATGCACTGCTACTAATAATTAATGCAATCTGATCATCCAGTGTGCGTCACTTCCTGTTCTGCCAAGGCATTTCACTGTTTTGTTTGCACTTGATTTACACAGTCTTAAAATATTACAGAATAAAAGCCCAGACATCTTTATCCCCTTGGTGATGAAATGCACATTAGCAGATCTGTCTTGTCTCCCTTCACTGTTGTAAAGCATGAGTAAAGGCTGGAAGTAGCATCTGGATTGTTGTTAAATGTTTAAAAGCAGTGGCCCCGGTTTACTTTTATTCATTTCTCCCACCCCATGGTTTACATGTAAAGCACCAGTGAATGGGTGTTGTATTATATTTGGGGCGGGGGGGGGGGGAGTTTTAAATTTATGCCCCCCCACTTTTAAGGTGCTCTAATTGCATTGGTTAAAAGCAGCTAGCTGGTTGTTCTTGAGAATATACCTTCTAGACAAGTCTAACCTTACTTCATCTGGACACTGTGGAAGGACAAGCTTGATTGTCCAAATCAAAATGGCAACAGGAAGCATCCTAGCTCTCATTAATGCTATTGTGACTTTTCTCTCAGATGCACGCTCCTTTCCTCCAGAAAAAGCTTGTGACCATTTTGTGTGGCTTCTGGCTTGTCTGGAACCATCTGGAGATCCTAGGTTTCAGCAAAAAGGTTTTCTATTAGCTTAAAAAAAAGAAAACACTTTTTCTTTAAGGTAGAATTTGTCTAACTCGTAGAGATCTCCAAAATTATAGTCAGATACAGAAGAATTTATACTGTAAAATGCTGTTGGGGGTGGGGCATGGGTATCCTGCACCAAATAAAACTGTTATTCAAAATGAACTCCCCACCTTGCTCTGTCAGTAGTTACCTCTGGTGAGAGGTATGAGATCCCAAGTAGCAGTAAAGCAAAACATCCATTTTGTTCTGTATTGATTGACATTAAGTGCATTTATGTATTAACTGGATAGTTTTTTTTGTTTTTTTTTTTTAAGCAATCAGATGTTGCTTGCTTAATCCCAGTGGCCAAGCATTCACCTCAGCACATGCCAGGTAATCCTTGTCTAAGGAGTGATGCCCAAGGAGATGGTATTGAAGACTAAGATGAAGGACCATCTTCACCCTCTGAGAAGACCCATGGGTCATGCTCTCATCTAAGGCCACAAGCTCGGCTCTACCTGGGAGAAACTGGGAAGCCCCAGGATGAGGTGAGTGAGGGTGTGTGTGCTGGAATGCAATCCAGTCTGGCAGAGTAACGTATCTGTCTCCAGCTGTGGCCCTTTAGGTCCCTCGGGTCTATTTCAGACAACAGCCCTTTGGTTACCTATTTTACAAAGGAGCAAACTGAGCCTCACATAAGGGGCTGACTTACTGTGGTAGTCTATTTTTTGTCTGTTCTCATTCTTTTTGTTAAAATAACAGCTGTTTCTCTTTTTAATTTTATTTTATTGGGCGCTCTTACAGCTCTTATCCCAATCCATACATATATCCATTTTGTCAAATACATCTGTACATATGTTGTCATCTTTTTCAAAAATTTTCTTTCTACTTGAGCCCCTGGCATCAGCTCATCCCCCCTTGATAATTTATAAATTATTCTTTTTGTTTTCACATGTCTTGCACTGGCCCCTGTCTCATTTCACCCACTTTTCTGCTGTCCGTCCCCCTGGGAGGGGAACCATATACATTGATCATTGTGATCACTTCCCCATTACTCCCCGCCACCCTAACCCCTACTCTTACCTTCCTAGTATCACTGCTCCCCTTAATGGTCCTGAGGGGTTTATCTGTTCTGGATTCCGTGTTTTGAGCTCTTATCCGTACCAGTGTACATATTCTGGTCTAGCCAGATTTGTAAGATAGAATTGGGGTCATAGTAGTGGGGGTGGGGACAGCCCTTTCATTTTGCTCAGAAATCTAGTGGTTAGGGGTTCAAGCAGGGCACAGGGAGCATGGCTTCTTTCTGCCTCACGAGGGACTTGAAAGAATGATGTGAATGGCTGGGACCTGGAAGCATCTGTAGTTTTCTTTACTTCTATGTCCTTGTGCCCACCTCTAACTGTGGCCTGGAGTGCCTACGTGAGATTTTGTGTGTGACTTGGGCTTCCTCACAGCGAGGCAGCCTCGGGATGGCTGGCCTTCCTGCAGAACAGCGTGCGGACTTTGAGGTTAACAGCCTATTGCTTAATCCACTTGGCCAGCAGATGTTTTAGGCACAGAATGGTTACTCAATAAATGTTTATTGGCTAAACGAGTGAGTGTAGGAGGGGACACGATTGATGTTATGCCAAGCTTGGCTCTGCCACCTGTGGGGGTCTGGACGGCCTGGAAGCTCCGAGCTGAATGCCCAGGGAAACCGACTCCATGAAGAGACACATGGTGAATTTATTACAAAGCTTTTGCAGGGGAGGGGAGGGAAATGGGGTACAGGAAAGGGGGGAATTGATTATCGAAAACTAAATCAATCTGGAAAGTGAAGGAAGGGTAGGAGGAGTCAGCAGTTTGATTCAGCCTTCGTGGTGACAGGCTGGCATGCGCTCTTGAAGTTGGGGTTGTAAGCCATCTGCAGAAAGAAAGGCAGGAGTCAAATACCAGCAGTCCAGAGATACCTGGCTCATTCCCCTCCTTCTTGCTGCCCCCCCCCCGTGACCCCCCCTCCACACGCACACAACTCAGGTACTCCTGGGTAAGATTCTGGGAGTTACTCATGGGTAAGATTCTCCACAAGCCCCAACCCTCTGCAACAAGTCCAAGGCCCCAGCCGCTGGAGCTCCAGCACCCAGAGGCGCTCAGGGCCATTCCCAGGCGCCGGTGCGAGAGTGCGATCGGGGCGGCGCAGGATTGGCCGCAGGGTGGCGAGTTGACGCTTCCAAAGGTTTGCAGGAAAAGTAATTCTCTCCCCTTCCAAGAACGCGCCAGAGCTCGCCAGAAACAACGTTGTCGGTGGGGACCCGTGCACACTGGATGGTCCTTTGAGTGTCCCAGGCTTTTCACGCACCTGGTGCGGCCCTTGCTAGGGGGTCCCCTAAAACTGTGGCAAATTAGATTAGAATAGAAACGCGTATTCCCCACCCCCCACCCCCAATGCCTTCCTAGCCGACCTTGAATAAAATCCGCATACTGTTTCGCCTTACAAAATGGGACCTCTGCCTCCGCTCCTCAGACCTGGCCACCGAGGAGCGCCCGCGAACCTTTCAGTCCTCCAGTGCGTTCGCTCCTCCGCAGTCTTTGAACTTGGGAGTCTCCCTCTACTG